ACAGACATTTTCTCTAAATCTTCCAATTTCTCAATAGCCTGCATGATGTGTGTGTGTGTGTGTCACTTCCTTGGTTAGATGCTGCTGGCATGGGTTCCGTCTCCCCCGACCAAATTCCTTCCTCCGCCTCTCCCTCCTTCGACTGATGTCAGTTTGAAGAATTGTCTTTGTACCGAGTATTGAAAGCATTTTGAGTTCGTTGGATCTCGTGAAGTCAATCGGTTCCACCCCGGCGCTGGTTCTCTCGTCCCGTACGGTTTCTGTCGAGGTAGAGGAGAATCCGAGGATCCTGGAGCGACCACCAGCGTCCGTAGGTGTTCCCAATCGAACTTGCAGAGATCCTGCCGACAACGCCAATTGTTATGGAAATCTGAGACCCAACACTGTGGAGAGTACAAGTCAGAGTGATCAAAAACAAATAAATGGTGAATCAGACAGAGTTGTCTGGTTATTTATTTGAAGCTTCAAATACATAAGATACAATAAAATAGACACAGGTCTCACAGAGTATATAATAGTCTGCGTGAGTGTGCGCAGTACAATATAGTAGCAAGGCTTATATACAAGAAAGAGTGAGAAGTTCAGAAATCTGTCTTCACACGGTCACATTGTTATTAGACACCTGTCCTTGAGCTGTAGATAGTATAACGGTTCTCAGGAAAGGCAAGTTCTTGTGTGACTTTGTGTGAGTCTCAACCTAGTAGCCAAATCAGCTGTGTGGCCTTGAAGTGCTTGGGAATAACCCCACAGTGGAGTATGAGAAGAAAACAGCACATCTCAAGAAATGATATAGGTATTTTACAATGTGTTGAGAAGCATTTGGTTTAAGCATATAAGGATATAATAAAAATGTCCACTACAAGTGCCAAATCATAACACAAATTATCTCAATATGCTTAAGTAGAGCAGGCTAAAGACTCTTGGCTCTTGTCACATTTTCTTAATAGATTGTAAAGTTTAATGACCACATCTGAAAAACAACCCGTTTCAGCTACATTACTTTACCAAATCAGTGCACATTGTGTTCTTTTTAGGTTTCCTGAACTTCTCCCATACAACGGACCTGACGAGCGTGACAAACTGAGTGAGGAGGTTCTGGACTACCAGTCAATGGACATTGCCATGCCCGAAGACCCAGCCACATTCGACATTGAGAGCTTTTGGGGGAACATGGCATCAATGAAGAATAAGGTAAGAATTATTCTGCACCCTTTGAAATACCCATTGACGTAATCAACTTAATTATATACAAAAATACTTGAGTAATTAGACTTCCTACATTTTTCAAAGGTGACCGGGATGAGCAGATTTGGGAGGCTCTCTCGTATTGCCAAGTTGGTGTTGGTACTTCCACATCCAAATGCTGATGCTGAACGAGTGTTCTCTGTGGTGGGACTGAACAAAACCAAAACCCGAAACAGTTTGGCTCTTGATGGAACTCTATCATCCATCCTGACTGTGAAGATGGCAAACCTTGAGCCACAGTGTTTCAAATGGGAGCCCCCTCCCTCTGTCATCAAGGCATCAACATCTGCCACAAACACCTACAACATGAGACATGTCATGTAAACCAAAACACACAAACAAAGACATGCACTTTATTTATTTATAATATATATTATATATATATATATATTATTCTGGTTCTAATTTTGTTACTCTTAAAAAAAAAATGCACTAAAGGAAAAGGCTGCTATTGGTTCTTAAAAGGCTGCTATTATTTCTTAAAAGGCTGCTATGTTTTCTTTATATCGACATTTTATAAATAAATGTATTTTATTTGTCAAAACTTTTCTTGTTACAATTGTTTTCATTTCTACTTGTGCTGGTCAATTATTAACACTATATAAGCATGAGGAGGCCGACAGTGCAGGGAGAGCAGCTGGCATGGGGGTGAAGACATCACAACAGTCTTAATGTTAATTTAAATTGAGATATTCCTCTAAATCGACGTTAAAAAAGGCACAAAAAAAAAATCGAAACGCATCTTCCCCGAAAGTCTCACTCCTACTTGTTACTGAAACTTGGCAGCCCTGGCTGGAAACATTTTTTAAATTCCCAAATATGCGTTGTTTGGATGAATGATTATTTTCTTACCCGGAAAACTGTTACAACTTAATGACAGTCATTCAAAAGCTTTAAACACTGTTTCTTTGTTAAACAAATGTTGTTGAAGCTCGCAACCCTTTTCAAAGTAATAGCGCACATGCTCTAACCGGAAGAACACACACAAAATAAAGCAATGTGGAAACACCCCAGAGCAGGCAAAGCATGAGGTGAATTATTGACACTATTACATGATATTTTCTGTCCCAGGCTCTGAGTGTCAGTGATCACTACCCTGTGGAGGTGGAGCTGGAGCTGGAGCAGATGGAGGAGCAGATAGTGGAGAACATGGGGAAGCTTGAGCTGATGGTGGAGCAGGAGGTGGAGCAGGAGGTGGAGCAGGAGGTGGAGCAGGAGGTGGAGCAGGAGGTGGAGCAGGAGGTGGAGCAGGAGGTGGAGCAGGAGGTGGAGCAGGAGGTGGAGCAGGAGGTGGAGCAGATGGCTCAGAGAAAATGGAATCTAGTGAAACCCTCGACTGGAGGAATACCTCAGGGTAAAGATGTCTCTTGCTTCATCAACATCAGTGACACATAATAGACATAGGAGTGCATTTAATTCTGTTTTTTATGGTTCTTGCAGCATCATACCCCTGACCCTAACCCCGCCGCACACGCTCTGTGCTTCAGCCGCTGCTCTCTTCTATCCTTTTTATTGCATTTTCTTTATTTCATTTAAATAAATGTAACACAGACCAAACAGGGCTTTTATAAACTTGTATTGGTTTTATTACAGGAGTTTTTAAACAACAAATATTTACCAGAGAGTCCGTGCACCACGCTGCGCTCCGTTGCCCAAAACCCTAACAATAATCAATAGATTTTTTGTGCTGAAAGTCATATACTGTTCTGTCTCAAACGGATAGACTAGGTTATTAATTGATTTGCTTAATAGTTGCTGAAAATGCTACAATAAAATGTTCAGTTCGTTTTTAATCTGCCATGTACGGTATCAATGGGGCGTGTCGTGTACTGTCTTGCTGCGACTGCAGCTGGGTGATATTGCAATATAGGCGTAGTTCTGTTAAGATAAGATAATAAGACGGTTAGTAAATAGAAATTAAATAAGTCCTTTCTGACACATAATCTTCCCAAACCTATCACACGTAATCCACCAGAGAAGAAGAAACACATTTGTACTTGAAAGGCAGTATAAAGGGTAAAACGTTTGGCACACGAACACACAATAAAATAAAGAATAAAATAAAATATTAAAAGAATGCTTTTAAATTCAGGTAAATAAAAACATATATATAGAATAAATACAATTTTTAATAAAACACTAAGATAATTATCATGTAAATATAAGACTATGTTTTAATTATTGCCGCCTGTTGCAGCCGATTTCCCTTAAATTGTAATGGATCTGTCTCTTTCCCATGGCATAGGTCTATGGCCCTGGGTTTTGCTATATCTCTCTGAAGGAGGGGCAGCTTGGGATCATTGTTGAGGCCAGTCTATGACAGAGCACAAGCTGCCATGATGTAGTTTACTGTTCAGGAACGTAGGTTGTTTAGTCTCGCTGATGAGGAATGTTGATTATTACATGGCTTAGTTGAATACTCGATTCTGATTGGTCAATTCAGAACACGTGAAACGTTGTTAATCCAGTAGTACAGACCGCTGTCAAGGACTTATTGACCGTTGCTAAGGACGCTCACATCTGCAGGAGGAAGTCCGGTCGATTTAACTGTCTACAGTTTGGTCCAACATCCATTTAAAATAAAATGTAAAGTAATAACGAAAATATAAATAACATAATATAAACAATGTTTAAAGGAAATGGGGGATTCATAATATATAAAAAAGGATAAAAGATATTTGGAACCTAATGAAATAAGAAAACATGCAATACACCGTGCAAACATTGAATAAATTGTAAAATGTCATTTATAAATAATAATAGATAAAATATAAGAAAAATATATAAAATGGTAGTAATACCAATAATAAACAATTACAATTAAAATTAATAAAATAGTCCAGAAGTGGAGGATTTATAAAATAATAGATAGGAAATATGTATAAATAATACACAGATAAATACTACAATATAAATAAATAATAGTTAATTAAAAAGGCTACATTAGTTAAAAAGCAATCCCCTTAGGTAATATATATATATATATATATATTTATAAAACGGACAAGTCAAATCAAGCAATCTGATTGGTTCTTAGCCGGATATACTGAGCGTATACCACGGGTAGAATTGTAAGTTACTTTTCACAACAAATCAGTATCCCTCCGCGTCTGAGAAAAACAGTATACTGCCTGCAGTTTGCTTTTCAAACTGGAACAAGAAAGCAGCGGAGAAGTAACGGGGCAGAAACCCTCCTTTTTACGCAGCGGTCCAGACATAGACATCAAACGGCAAAACATAGGCCTATTCATTGTGCAGTTCCTTTGGCATTAGGGCAGGGATATCTAGATACTTTCCAAGGTTTGACATAATGAATTGAGCTACTTTTAAAGCAAGCAACAATGTTTTCAAATCTGTAATCAAAGAGGTCCGCAAAAACACTATCGACCAAGGGGGTTGTCGACCCTCCGCTTCGCGTCGGGCCGAACCACGCCCCTTAGCTGTGATATAATGAGCATATACCACGGCCTGTCGTGAGCTATTGCTTAAATATATATATATATATATATATATATATATTTAAGCAAGTTCCACCCTTTATTTTTATTTTATTTTATATATAAAATAAAATAAAAATAAAGGGTGGAACTTCTGGTTTGCCATCACCGCAGAGAGAGGGTCTAAAAACATCCGGAGGGGAGAGGCACACTTGAGCTCTATCAAAGACTGGCCTCAACAACGATGCCAAGCTGCCCCTCCTTAAGAGAGATAGCAGGGGCGGGGGGGTTTGGCTTTCAGAGACACTTCCCTATGGGTTTCTTTAATTCCTGGTGTTTCTGCAGAACCTCTCACATCACTCCTGTCCCCTGAAACAGAACAACCTCTGCTGCTGGGTTATTATTTAGATTTTACTCAACAGAAGGGTGAGTTTTCTTTGTTGTTTCTTTTGAGTTTTATTCTTCTTAGTGTAACAAGTGTTCATTTCTCAGCTATGGAGTGTAGACTTGAATCCATAGGCGGCGCGTGAGGCTCAGGTTTGGGAAAGCTAAATAACTTTTTTTACCTGACGCTGCCCGACTCCGGCGTCTATAGAAAAGAGATCAACTCAGTGTGCGGAGTTCAGCAGTCTGATGGCTTGGGGGGAAAAGCTATTGCAGAATCTGGCTGTTCTGCTCTTAATGCTGCGGAACCTCTTGCCGGAGGGCAGCAGGGAGAACAGAGCATGGTGAGGATGAGTGGGGTCTTTAAAAATGTTCTGGGCTTTTGTCAGGGAGCGTTTCTGAGCGGTGTCTCTGATGGAAGGGAGAGAAACTCCGATGATCTTCTCTGCTGTCCTAACCACTCTCTGCAGAGACTTCCAGTCTTTGGCGTTGCAGTCTCTCGACCAGATGGAGATGTCAGCACGCTCTCTATGGTTCCTCTGTAGAACGTGGTGAGGATGGGAGGGGGGAGCTGTGCAGGAAGAGTAGGCACTGCTGTGCCTTCTTAAATAGTGATGTAGTGTGAGTGGACCAGGTCAGACTGCTTGTGATATGCACCCCCAGGAACTTGGTGCTGTCTGTAGTCTTCACTGCTGTGCCGTTGATGTGGAGTGGTGGGTGACAGTGCTTTTTGTTCCTGAAGTCGACAATGATCTTTTTTATTTTATCGACATTCAGGATCAGGTTGTTGGTGTTACACCAGTCTGTCAGATGTTTCACCTCCTCCCTGTAGGCCTGTTCGTTGTTGTCCCTGATGAGTCCCACCACTGTTGTATCGTCCGCATACTTTATGATGTGGTTGGTACTGAACCTGGAGCATAAGCATAAGCGCTATCGATAAAAGTAGTAGTAGCGTTGTGTACCCTATGTGGATGTCAGTGTTACACACATTCTGAGGCCGCCCTACCTATGTTTTTTGTTTTCACTGCTAATTTATGCTTATGTTCTATTAGTGCATTAAAAAATAATAAAAATAATTAATGAAGTTTCAGCTCAGACCCCACGCTTAATATGTCTCCCCCTGGCCCACCTACATTTCTCCAGGCCCACCCACACAATAATTCCTGGCTACGCCACTGGACTAGAGTGGCCGCGATCTTTTCGAACGCCGCGGCGCAGCCGTAACACGACGCAGACGGACCCAGTGGAATCTAGGGGTAACCCTAGAAAATGACATGCCCAGAATGAATGAGTATATCTTCACTTCTAAAATAACCTTTTTTATCAAAGCTATGATACACCTGCGAATTAGCTGTAGAAGTGTCAGAATCAATATAGATGTTGCTGTGTCAGAGTGTCAGGGGCCCTATTGCCCCCCAGGGTAAGGGTCAGGGTCAGGGGTGAACCCTAACGCTGACCCCGGGGCCAATAGGGCTCAAGAGGTTAAACAATGCAGCGATTCTGCGATTCACCTCAGCCGTCTCTCGCTTTAGTTTTTTCAAATCTGCAGCTCTTCGTCCCTGCTATATTTGATGAGCGAAACAAATATTTGTTACCATAAGTTCTTAATAAAACTGTCACTGTTGGACTCAGTACTAGTTTGACTGCTACCAGAAAAACAATGAAGTACATTTACTGTGTACTTTGTGAGTACGTGACGCGACGCAGACGCACCCGGTGGAATCGAGGGGTTAGGGCCCAGGCCTCAAGAGGTTACATCTCCTAACAATGTTGTCCATTTTAGACATATGCTTATTATATTTACAGCCCTTAATAACATTCATTTTCTGGGCTCAATGTGTGTCTTGGCCTTTTTCGTTGGGATGGTTCAATTCACCTTGTTTTCCCGTGTGTATAATATCATCACCGTTCCTTCAACAGGATACTTTAGTGCGTCAAAGCAAGTGTACACACAAACTGAAAGATTGACAATAAAGTTGACTTTGACTTTGATATCATTTTTCCTTCTGGCAATTGCATTTACCCTTCAAACATCATAAAGTGGTGTTACAGTAATATGTGCAGATTATCCTGCTGAACTAAACATGTAAGTAAACATTTGTTAACGACAGAGATTATTTCTCCCATAAATGGAAACCCAATAGAGAAATCTAAGTAAATGTAGCAGGTATTGGATGAAGAGTCAAATAATAGAGTTTCTTTAAATGGACATACTGTATACTCTCGTTAAATACCTTGTAATTGAGCACTTTAATAAATGTTCTTTGTTACTGTCCACCACTGGCTTTGATAATATGTTGGGTGTATCGGTTTAAATCTATGAAATTAATTTGATTTATATTTTTAGTCAAAATGAAGATCGCTGCCTTCAATGTGAAGAGACTGGGAGGGGATAAAGTCAACAACCAGGACGTACGGGATAATATCATAAAGGTAACTCACCGTGCTGAAGCACACAAGTTTGTTCAGTGTAATATTTCAGTTAATGTTTTTGTACATGGCGAGAAAATTAAAGGAAAGGAGCAGTTTTTTATGCATTGATAACACAATTTAAAAAGTTCTGTGCTTTCTTTTCTCTGTGGTTGTGTTTTGCAGATTGTGTCTCGGTACAGCGTGGTGCTGCTGCTGGAGGTGACGGATGTGAGTGGTGAGGCCATGGAACTGCTCCTCAAACACCTTAATGAATATGGGTGAGTTCTCCACACATAGAAGCACATTTATTTAAAGGGGCCCTATTCTGTTCAGGTTCAAAATGTGTTTTTAGGGTCCTGTGACATGTTTACTTGCTTTAATGTTCAGAAAGCTCTTTATTTTTCTCACACTGTGCTGCAGCACCTCTTTTCACCTTTGCCTAAAAACAAGTGTTGGTAATTAAATCTTATGGGGCATCTACAATGATACAAACAAATGCTGATGATTGTGAGAGATATTCAGTTCCAGTTGTTTCTGTTTTCTGGCAGAGATAACAGAAGTAATCCGTACCGCAAGCTGTGCAGTGAACCTCTGGGACCGGAGGGTCACAAGGAGAAGTTTGTCTACTTCTACAGGTCAGAAACACAAGTACAGACAATCCTGTGTGTGGTTAAAATACCTTTTTGGGCAACCAGTGCCTTTATTGTAGAGACAGACCTAACATGGGGAGTGATGACAGACGGCAAATGGTCATCGAACTGGATTCAGACCAAGCCTCAGTACACATCAATCTACCAATTGAGCTATACGTTATGTCTCACAGGAATTAAAATATGTCTCGAATTGGTAACAGCCACATTCAATTGGATAATTATGATTGAAAAACTGTGTAAAATATCAAAGACAAAAAACAGTAATGTTTATTTTTGAACCAGTAAGCTGTGACACATTACATTACTCTTCTTTGAGACGCTTCAATATTTTTAGTCCTACAATTTATTTGTTGTCTATGGTCTGGTAGCTAAGACCCAGAACATCATAGGCTTTACAAATCATCACATTGTGCCGTTGGGCCAAACTCTACACACATTTCCTACAAGGCTTTATCGAAAAACTTCAAGTGGTTTATGAGCTATCTCACTAACTAATAAAAATACATGAATAAACAAACAAAACATAACATGTGTTTATAAGCTTTATAATACAGTATATGTTTGTGGCTTTGTGTTTCAGAAAGAAAGAAGTGGAGATAAAAGACAAATACCAGTACAGAGGAAATGCTGTGATCACCAGAAAGCCTTTCGCTGTCCTTCTAAATTGTCTAAACACAGGTATGTGTGTGTTTTAGTTTTTTAGACTATCATTGTGAGGATCAATTTGGGTTTTGTGTCCTTTATGGATTATGAGGACACCAGGGTTCGATTCGACCGGACTAAATAAGGCTGCTGTGAATGCGACGAGTCACAAGAACGCAGATGTCTTCAAAATCTTTAGTTAAAGAGTGAAGCAGGATGAAGTGTTGAACAGTGTTGTGTAAAGTAAAAATGCTCCGTCAACTATACATAAAAGTCAGAGCCACCTGTCGTCGGTGAAACCTCCTCCTGACTGCAGAACGTCTCTCAGTGTTACAATGTTTTTTTATCGCACGTTGTCTGATTATATAATCGTATGTGCTGTCCACTAGAGTCTGTTGATCTCCACATTAACAGCAGCATGAAAATAACCTGCCGATGCTCCATGGTGGAGGCTACGGTAGAAATTGCCGGGGTTTGCGTTTGTTCCCCCTTAATGACAGCATTTCCGTGCACATGACTTGTGTTTAAAGTTTATAGTCCGTTCTAATGCACATTCTCAAAATATTGAAGTGACTGTTATTTATATTGATTGCTGTGTTTTTACACACAAACTGGAAGATTGACAATAAAGTTGACTTTGTAGTGCCGAGAGATAGGGAGTCGGAGGCGGTGCAATGGAGGTGCAAAAGGGTAATTTATTAGAGAGTAGAAAAGGACATGTTGTCCGGTTGCAGTCCGGGAAGAAGAGAGAGAAGCCAGGAGGGCACACAACATATATAGTCAACACACAACATGTCCGTGTGGAAACAAAACCCCAACTGTAGTTCCATGTGTGAATTATGAACCAGTGTATTAATAGGTGGTCACCACACAAGCCCCCCCAGAATTCAAACATGACAAAATAAATCCTCGTGTCCGTGGAGGAAGCACCACAGGGGCCGAGGAGGGTGGGGTCGCAGACGAGGGCCGGGCCATGGAACGGGCCATGGAACGGGCCATGGAATGGGCCATGGAACGGGCCATGGAACGGGCCGACGAAAGGGGGGTCGCAGGATAGGGTAGGGGCCCTAACGAGGGCGAGGGCACCCCCACCGGGGGCGGGCCGGAACGGGCCGTCATAAGGGGACCGCAGTAGGTGTTGTGGCGAACCCAGCAGGAAAGAGCGCTGCCCGGCCGCAGGCAGGCGTCGAGGTATCGCCGGAAGAGAGGAGCAGTCCCCCCGGGAGGAAGGAGCACAACCCGGCCGCAGGTAGACGCGCAGCGGCGGCGGAAACGAAATCCTCGGAAAGCCTTCAGGTATCCCCGGGAGGCAGGAGCAGTCTCCCCGGGAAGAAGGAGCCGTGGACAGATGAGAAGCCAGACAGGGTCCCGGAGCACGTCACCCATGGGCCGATGGAGCATGGGCGACGTCCGGAACTGTCGAGGCGAGAGGGGGTCCAGGGGTGCGCCACCCAGGCGCCGATGAAAACGAGAGTGGCGTCTGGATATCCCTGGAAGGCAGGATAGGCCAGACAGGCTCCGGGGGGCGCCACCCACGGGCCGATGGCAGCATGGGCGACGTCCGGAACTGTCGAGGCGAGACTGGGTCCAGGAGTGCACCACCCAGGCGCCGATGAAAACGAGAGTGGCGTCTGGAACCGCCGTCGAGGTGGTGAAAAAGGTGAGTGTCCACACGAGGTCAACCGGCTGGTCGAACCTCTTCTCCGGCACCGGAAAAAATTGTCAACAGTCAGATGTTAACAGAAAACGTCGACAGCCGTTAACAGCTAGCCGTTAGCCGTTAGCTGCTAGCCGTCATTAGCCCCTCGTGGTTAGCCGCTAGTCGTCGTCAGCTAGCGCAGCCGCACGCCCCGAAGAAACCAGCCCACAAGGTAGCAATCGGTCTGCTGATCGACCCAGCAGGTTGTGCATCGTCCCCCTATTGGATGGAAGGCTGATGCGGGAATGGCGAGCAACGTCCCCAGCTCTTCTGCGGGGCGCGCACCGAGCCTCAGTCCGCGTGCCGGTGGCAGCCACGGACGATTCCAAAAAAATCCCCGGCATTTCGAGAAAGAAACATGAGTTCCTTTTGCCGTGTTCAGGTCCGTCCCGGAAACTTCTCGAGACGTTGTCAGGGTCACCAGTGTAGTGCCGAGAGATAGGGAGTCGGAGGCGGTGCAATGGAGGTGCAAAAGGGTAATTTATTAGAGTGTAGAAAAGGACATGTTGTCCGGTTGCAGTCCGGGAAGAAGAGAGAGAAGCCAGGAGGGCACACAACATATATAGGCAACACACAACATGTCCGTGTGGAAACAAAACCCCAACTGTAGTTCCATGTGTGAATTATGAACCAGTGTATTAATAGGTGGTTACCACAACTTTGACTTTATCAGAGAAGCGGACTATTAGGTGTGAATGCAACCTAAGTTGTCAGGACCTTTCTATATTGTGAGGTCCTAACTTTAGGAAAGATATAAATGGAATGTTTAAAGATAAATACTTTTTATTAAATTAGACTTAGGTTGCGATAACGACGTGTGTGTGTGTGTGTGTGTGTGTGTGTGTGTGTGTTTGCCTCCAGTTGTGCAGGATCTGGTGTTGATCCCGGTCCACATCACACCAAGTAACGCAGAGGTGGAGCTGAACGCTCTTCATGACGTGGTTGAAGATGTGAGGAAAATGTGGAAGAATGATGTAAGTTTTTAAAATATTATTGATGGGTTTGAGAGAAAAACAATGTGGTAAAATCTTTACATTTAACATTAACCATTTTGTGTTTATCACGATATTGAGTGATGGGTTTTTGAGAGATTAAATAGTATTGTTTAATTTTATTTCTCATATAAGCAAACTTGTTTAAGCTTTGAATACTTTCAGTATGAATAAAGTTAAAACAAATTAACATAATGTGTTTTTCCATTCTGAGTTTGGTTGTGTTGTTCTTTCTTCTGCAGAACATTATGATTTTGGGAGACTTTAATGCTGATCAACCGTATCTCTCCAAGAAGAAGAAGACGAAGGAAACACTCCTCATCTCCTCGGCTCCTTATCGTTGGCTGATAGGCGATAACGTCCACACCATGACTATAAACAACAACCACGCCTACGACAGGTAATACACATTTCATTGTTTAATCCAAGCACTTTTTGTGTTTGTTAAAAAAATGAATTGTGCTGCATTTCCAAACAACAGGATCGTGGTTTACAAAGAAAGCATGCTGGAGGCCATCGTCCCCGACTCAGCCAAAGCCTACAACTTCAAGAGAGAGTTGAACTAGACAGTAGAAGAAGTGAGACTCATGTTTAGGGTTGGGTATCGTTGGTACGATGAGATGTTACTATATCTCCCCTACTGTAACACTGACAGTGACACCTGCTGAAGTGTCACAGTGCAACCCATTATCAGCAGTGTTGGGTGTAACGCGTTACAAAAGTAACGGAGTTACAGTAATATATTACTTTTTGCTGTAACGAAGTAATGTAACATATTACTAATGAAATATGGGTAATTGTTACGTCCCAACTAGGGGAAGAGGAATGCAACACACACCAGTATGTAATTGGTAATAATTATAAGTAGTTTTAATGTATAACAGGTAGATACAATGGCAGGCAAGCAGCCTGAGACCAACAAAGTAGCCACAAGGGCGCAAGTTTAAATGGGCAACCAAACAAAGGGAGGACTCTAATAAGTGAGCCTACTTAAATACAAAGGTACATACATAACTAAACAAAAGAACCCTCACTATTGCAGTGGTACAAACTAAAGAAAAGGAGGCTGTAAGAAAACACAGGTAAACTAAACAACTACAGTCAACGTAGAGGCTAAGATACTCTAATCACATCTAATCATATCAACACTACCAAACACAGACCACACAAGTTAAACCACAGAACGGAGAGCAAATAGTTAGAGGCGTCTGTTCACTCAACAGAGCCTCCAGAGTGGTAATTGTCCTCAGGCTTTGTAGTCATCTGCATCAGGTGTGCGCCGGCTGTGCGCTGCGATTGGAGCGCGTCAGGCCCGGCATGCTCCAATCACAATCCTCAGGGGGCGGACCAGGAGATGGGCAGCCAATGATGTCAGGGCAATCGCACAGCTCATTTACATAAAACACACATTAACACAGTTAAGAGGATCAGGAAGGCATCAGCCGTAACCCTCTCCCCCTTAAGACACAAACCCACAGGTTTTGTGAACTAAACACACTAACAAACTCCTAATAACACCCATTCTAACATCACAAACTCAACCTGGACAAAGCATCGGCCAACACATTCTCTGAGCCCTTTAATGACGGGTGTCTACGGTTGTAGTCCCGCACAATCAGAGCCCATTGCAGGAGACGCTGATTGTGCTTGGACACGCTAGGGCAGAATATGAAGGGATCATAACATGTAAACACCACAATTGGCCAAAGGCTGGGTCCAACATGAACCTTAAAGTGTTGCAGAGCTAACACCAACACTTGGATCCGATGAACGAGCTGACACTCTCGGGTTACCGGGAGTGTCGAAAAGTCGAGAGGTTTGTCTGAGCCGGCGTGTTGCGCTGGTCTCACGACATCCTCACGAGGGGGAGCCACAATTTCTGGCTTCTCCCCGGACACAGCTTCATCTGAAAGCACAGGCACAATCACAGGATCAGATAATGAGACATCAGAAACACTTTTACTCGCCTGTGCACTTGTATGGGTAACCAGGCCAATACCTTTTGGCGGGGACATGTTCTGCCGCTGTTCTTTACGCTTCAGAGCTGCACAGTTGGCGATGACATGTCCAAGTTGGTGACAGTAAAAGCACTCTCTCTCCTCTCTTGTTACATTATACATGTTTGATGGCTGAATAAATGGTGCGGCTGACACACTGCGGGATCTCTCAGTAGAGACCGGAGAAAACACAGATTTATGAGTGTGCACATACTCATCAGCTAACACAGCAGCAGCAGAGAGGGAATTTACTTTTTGCTCATTTAAGTAAACGACAATATGGTCAGGCAAACATTTCTTAAACTCCTCCAACATGATCAATTCCCTCAGAGAAGAATAATCAGTAGCATTACATGAGGCAATCCACTTAGCAAAAAACGTTCCCTTTTCTCTGGCGAACTCGGCGTGAGTTTGATTAGGACCCTTCCTATGGTGTCAAAACTTCTGCCGGTAAGCTTCGGGAACTAATTCGTACACCCTGAGGATGGCACCCTTCACCAAGGCGTAATTTAGACTGTCCTCCAACTGCTTCCTGAGCTTTTCCATATAATTTGCACGTTACCATCAGAGCCCAAACTTCAGCCGACCACCGCAACGCTGTAGCAATGTGCTCGAAGGCACCAAAATAGGCATCCACCTCAGTCTCACAGAAGGTTGGCAATAGCGAAATGTTTCTACTCACGTCAAAGGCCGGTGGAGGAGGTGGAAATAGCAAGTTTCTTCCGGCAGAGTCAAAAGCATCGGATGCGTGAAGTTGGGAGTCTAGCTCCAGCTGACGTATCCGGATCCGGACTTCCTTATCTGCCTCGATTTTCTTTACCTCCAACTGAAACTGATACTGCCTGTCTTGCTCCTTGTCTTTTGCCTCTAACTGAAGCCGTGCGAGACGGACTTTGAGTCTACTCCCTTCCCGGGAATCTGGACTGCGGCGCGGACGGTGCTTTACACTGCTCGCTCCCCTCGCTGTCACTACCCTCTCCTTTAGCAAGGACATTAGGCACAGTGAGCTCAGCTTGTGCAGGCAGCACCAGAAAACCCCTTTCCACCAACTCATCCACCACCAGAGCCTTTAACTCTTGTTTTAATAATTGTTTTGCCACTGGGAGACTGAAATGTTGTGCTATCTCAAATAAGTCGTCTTTACGACACTGATCTAGCTGCTCATAAGAAGGACAGACTAAAAAAGACTCAAAATTGAAAAGTGCCATACTCAGCTAAAACTGCACACAAAGTCCACCAAATTGTTTTTAGCTATACAAAACCACTTATAACCCCAGGAATTAAGTTATTTATCCCGGACGAGTCCCCATGTATGTTACGTCCCAACTAGGGGAAGAGGAATGCAACACACACCAGTATGTAATTGGTAATAATTATAAGTAGTTTTAAAATAACAGGTAGACAAAATGGCAAGCAAGCAGCCTGAGACAAACAAAACATACAAAGTAATATGTAATATATTACATTTTGGAAGTAACTTTCTCAACACTGATTACCGGTTTAGACACATATATATGTACATTTTTCCGGTTTAGCACTAGCAGCATCATAAACAATACATTTTATTTGAGATTATTAACAGCTACACTACTGAAGCCCATAGGCTGGTTGGAAAGAATACTAAAGCACATGAGGATAGTTTTATAAAAACTGCCAGAAGGGTGGTTTAGTTAGGACTGTTAGCTATCAACCTAACAAGCTGGCCAACGGACATTAGCTAACTTTCACTAGCTACTTTACAAACCAGGAAACATTTGCTCTCTATCTCACTTAGCTAGCTAGTTTATGTTAGCTATATATCTAACAAGATAGCTATATGTTAGCTATCTAGCTGACTATTGACAAATTGGTGTCTCGCATAATTTAGGACTATTATTTAATATCCTACGGTTAGACTTGCAGTGCGAACTTGTGTCTACAGTTCGGGCAGTGAGAGTCATTTTAAAAACACTGTTGACTTTTATTAAGCTGACCGACTGCCGTCAAATAGCAGCTGCTCACAGCGGGAAACATTTTTTAAATTCCCAAATATGCGTTTTTTGGATAAACAAATCACATAACAGTTATCTAAATGGTTATTTTCTTACCCGGAAAAGTGTTACAACTTAATGACAGCCATTCAAAAGCTTTAAACACTGTTTCTTTATTAAACAAATGTTGATGAAGCTGGCAACCCTTTTCCAAGTAATAGCGCACGTGCTCCAACCGGAAGAACAAACACAAAATAAGGCAATGTGGAAACACCCCAGAGCAGGCAAAGCATGAGGTGAATTATTGACACTATTAAATGATATTTTCTGTCCCAGGCTCTGAGTGTCAGTAATCACTACCCTGTGGAGGTGGAGCTGAAGATGGAGCTGGAGCTGATGGTGGAGAAGATGAGGAAGCTGGAGCTGATGGTGAAGCAGAGAGCTCAGAGAAAAAGGAATCCAGTGAACCCAGTACCGGGCCCAGCAGCCATGGTTCCAGCCCAGTCCTGGCCCCAGCAACCATGGTTCCGGCCCCAGTACCGGGCCCAGCAGCCATGGTTCCAGCCCCAGTCCTGGCCCCAGCAACCATGGTTCCGGCCCCAGTACCGGGCCCAGCAGCCATGGTTCCGGCCCCAGTACCGGACCCAGCAGCCATGGTTCCGGCTTCAGTACCGGCCCCAGTAGCCATGGTCCCGACTCCAGTTTTGGCTCCAGGACTGGCTTACCGGCCGACGACAGCTCCCCGAGTCCTGTCGGCGTACCGGCCGACTCCAGCACCTCGTCTAATGTTGGCTCTCCAGCCAACGCCAGTTCCCCGAATCCTGTCAGCGTACCGGCCGACTCCAGCACCTCGTCTCCTGTTGGCTCTCCAGCCGACGCCAGCTCCCAGAGTCCTGTCGGCTTACTGGCCGACTCCAGCACCTCTTCTCCTGTTGGCTCTCCAGCCGACGCCAGCTCCCCCAGTCCTGTCGGCGTACCGGCCGACTCCAGCACCTCGTCTCCTGTTGGCTCTCCAGCCGACGCCAGGTCCCCGTGTCCTGTCGGCGTACCGACCGACACAAGTTCCTTCTCAAGACCCTTCTCAGGTCCCCTCTCAGGTCCCCTCTCAAGTCCCCTCTCGAGTTCCCTCTCGAGTTCCCTCTCAGGTCCCCTCTCGAGTCGAGTTCCCTCTCAGGTCCCCTCTCGAGTCAAGTCTCCTCTCGAGTTCCCTCTCAGGTCCCCTCTCGAGTCTCTTCTCGAGTCTCCTCTCAAGTCTCCTATCTAGTTCTTTCTCAAGTCCCCTCTCGAGTTCCCTCTCAAATTCCCTCTCGAGTCCCCTCTCAAGTCCCCTTTCGAGTTACCTCTCAAGTCACCTCTCGAGTTCCCTCTCAAGCCCTCTCTCGAGTCTCCTCTCGTGTTCCCTCTCGAGTCCCCTCTCCACTCACCTCTCGAGTTCCCTCTCAAGTCCCCTCTCGAGTTCCCTCTCAAGTCCCCTCTCGAGTTCCCTCTCAAGTCACCGCTCGAGTTCCCTCTCAAGTCTCCTCTCGAGTATCCGTTCAAGTTCCCTCTCGAGATCCCTCTCAAGTCATCTCTCAAGTCAACTCTCAAGTTTCCTCTCGA